AGTTTGTCAAAGCTGAAAAGTGTCAGTTCCATGCCAAATCCATAACATTTCTGGGCTATGTGTTTGAGGGTGGACAGGTGAAGACTGACCCTGCCAAGGTTTGAGCTGTCGAAGAATGGCCCATCCAAGACTCCAGGAAGCAACTTCAGCACTTTTTGGGGTTTGCCAACTTCTATAGACATTTTATTAGAAWCTACAGCCTTATTGCCGCTCCTCTTACCACTCTGACATCTACTAAGAGACCCTTTCTATGGAGTCCGGAAGCCAACCAAGCTTTCACTGAGCTCAAGAAAAGATTTGCTGATTCCCCTGTTCTCATTCATCCAGACCCATCAGACCAATTCACTCTTGAAGTAGATGCCTCAGACACTGATGTGGGGGCAGTCTTATCTCAAAGATCCCCCACTGATAATAAACTTCATCCATGTGCCTTTTTTTCTAAGAAATCCCCCCCCCCCCGAGAGGAACTACAGCATTGGTGACAGAGAGCTCCTGGCCATTAAACTATGTCTTGAGGAATGGAGGCATTGGCTTGAAGGTACTGAGCTCCCAGTCATCATTTGGACTGACCACAAGAACCTTTCCTATTTACAAATGGCTAAACGCCTAAATCCCTGTCAATTTCACTGGTCCCTCTTCTTCTCCCACTTTAACCTTGCTATAACCTATCRTCCTGGCACCAAAAACATCAAACCAGATGCTCTCTCCAGGCAATACACTCCCAATAACTCCATTGATGCCTCAGTCGGGTCYCTGACCTGGGATTTGGAGAGGTACATCCAGCAGGCGCTGTCTTCAGATCCAGTCCCCGGTGGTGGACCACCCAACCGTCAATTTGTCCCAGCCTCAGTCCATTCTAGGACCATTCAATGGGCACATTCATCAAGGTTTTCTGGTCATCCAGGAGTTATCCGCACCATTGGTTTGCTCCGCAGATACTTTTGGTGGCCCTCACTCAATAAAGATGTGGCTGAATATGTTTCAGCTTGTTCTATCTGTGCCAGGAACAAAAGCTGCCATAAACCTCCCTTTGGTCTTTTACAGCCCCACTCAGTTCCCAGCCGTCCTTGGTCTCACATTGCCCTCAATTTTGTTACTGGTCTGCCCAATTAAAAAAAAGAATGTCATACTCACCATTATTGATCTATTTTCTAAGGCTTGTCACCTCATTGCTCTTTCCAAACTCCCCACATCTGCTCAAACAGCCAAGCTTCTCTTTAATCATGTGTTCAGGCTCCATGGCATCCCTACTGAGATTGTCTCTGACCAAGGACCTCAATTTATTTCACAAGTCTGGAGAAACTTTTGTTCCTTCTTGGGGGCCAATCCTCGATTATCATCTGGTTTCCATCCTCAAACCAATGGGYAATGTGAACGCCTGAATCAGGAACTGGAAAACACCCTTCGCTGTATCTGTGCCTCTAATCCAACTTCCTGGAACGTCCACCTTCCTTGGGTAGAATACGCCCACAACTCACACATTTCAACTGCATCAGGCTTATCTCYTTTTGAAGCATCCCTGGGCTACCAGCCATCTCTCTTGCCCACAACCCTCCCCGACTCCATCATCCCATCTGTCAGATCACACCTCCAAGCCTGCCATAGGATCTGGAATCAAACCAAAGCAGCTCTACAACGCACCTCCACCCAAAACAAGAAACTAGCTGACCGGAAACGTATCCCTGCACCTCTATACTTGCCTGGACAAAAAGTTTGGTTGTCATCTAAGAGTTTCCCACTAAAGGCCTCCTGTAAGAAACTCTCCTAGATTTCTAGGCCCTTATCTCATTGATGCAGTTATCAGCCCCTCTACCATTCGTCTCAAACTCCCTCCCCGCCTCCGTGTTCATCCTGTTTTTCATGTCTCACAGATCAAGCCTTTTCTTTCTAGACCCACATTTCCCCTCCTCAGCCTCCTCACTGCTACTTGGCTGTAAGTTTAATCTTATCATTCAACATATTCGAACTATATCTAACAGTGGACTAATCACCTGCCTTYCCCTTCTTCAGTGCTGCTCCTGACCCAAGGGCTTCCTCCTCACAGGATCGTTACCATTACCCTCAGTTCAATAAAATCATTTAAACCTGCTTTTGTGTCCGTAGTTGTTGCCTGCTTAAGAGTTTTGAGTTTTCATCATGACATGGGATGGATGCATGGATGGATGGATGGATGGATGGATGGACGGATTGATGGATGATGGATGGATGATGGATCAGTGAATGGATGGATGATGTATCAATGGGTGGATGGATGGATGGATGGATGGATTATGAATCAATGGGTGGATGGATAGATGGATGATGAATCAATTAATGGATGGATGGATGATGGATGGATTGATAAATAGATGATGGATGATGAATGATGGATGGATGATGGATGGATGGATGGATCAATAGATGGATGGATGGATGGATGGATGGATGGGTGAATGATGGATCAGTGAATTGATGGATGATGAATGGATGATGGATCAATGAATGGATGGATGATGAATCAATGGGTGGATGGATGGATGGATGATAAATCAATTAATGGATGGATGGATGATGGATGGATTGATAAATAGATGATGGATGATGAATGATGGATGGATGATGGATGGATGGATGGATCAATAGATGGATGGATGGATGGATGGATGGGTGAATGATGGATCAGTGAATTGATGGATGATGAATGGATGATGGATCAATGAATGGATGGATGATGAATCAATGGGTGGATGGATGGATGGATGATAAATCAATTAATGGATGGATGGATGATGGATGGATTGATAAATAGATGATGGATGATGAATGATGGATGGATGATGGATGGATAGATGGATGGATGGATCAATAGATGGATGGATGGATGGATGAATGATGGATCAATGAATTGATGGATGATGAATGGATGATGGATCAATGAATGGATGGATGATGAATCAATGGGTGGATGGATGATGGATGATGAATCAATGGGTGGATGGATGGATGGATGGATGATGAATCAATTAATGGATGGATGGATGATGGATGGATTGATAAATAGATGATGGATGATGAATGATGGATGGATGGATGGATCAATAGATGGATGGATGGATGGCTGGCTGGCTGGCTGGATGGATGGATGGATCAATAGATGGATGGATAATGGATAGATTGATAAAAAGGTGATGAATGATGGATGGATGGATTGATAAATAGATGATGGATGGATCAATAGATGGATGGATGGCTGGATGGATGGATGGATGGATCAATAGATGGATGGATGATGGATGGATTGATAAAAAGGTGATGGATGATGGATGGATTGATAAAAAGGTGATGGATGATGGATGGATTGATAAATAGATGATGGATGGATCAATAGATGGATGGATGGCTGGATGGATGGATGATGGATGATTGATAAATGGATGATGGATGATGGACGGATGCTTTATTGACCTTTTGCAGGGTCACAGCAGCAGCAACGTTCCACACAAACAACAGCATCACTGTTCTGAGGCTTTGTCTTTCAGCTCAGCCCTTTTTTCAACACAACAGGCAGAACCAACACACAATTACTATATTAGTTCATCTTCTCACCTTCCTGCTGTCACTCGTACATCATTGTCAAATGTTGGATTCAGGAGGAACAAACCTCAGCCTGACAGATCTGCTCCAGGAGTCTGGCTGTGCAGAGGACACCAGCTGTGTTTCCATCCAATTTTAATTCAAATTTTGAGTGAATTTTTTAAATTTTGCAAAAACGAAGAAATGCGAATCAGACGTTTTTCCATCAACTGGCTTGAAGCAAATCAGTTACGTCAGACGCATGCGTGTAGTAAACAGGAAGTAAAGTCACATCTCAGGACCATGGAGAGAAGTTTTCAGGAACGTGTTGCTACTATCAGAAAGTTGTAATTATTCTGTCATCAACTGGTTCTGGTGATGTTCCTGCTGTCTGGAGACGTAAAGAAATGCAACTCTTTTCACGTTATGGGAATAACTGGGTTGTTTCTACTCAGCTGAGCCTCATATTTCATAAACTTCATCTGTGTCGACCCTTTCATATCCATTCAGAACATGCATTTCCTTATAGAAAAGTTAATACAAAACAACAAAAAGAAAAAGAATGAGTTGAACAAACAAAAGGCAGGATCCTGACCWAGTTGTGAAACCTCAAGGAATGTTTTTCTGTTGGTCTTATCTGCTCTTTTCTAATAAAACAGTGTTTGCTGGTAATTGTGGTTAAAAATTGATGATTCACATGGTCATTAAGCAAAATCAACACACTGAGAAGGAAAAAATACTTTCAAGGTTTTTATTATCTTAACCACAGGGCATCAGTTCTAGAAATATAAATACATCTGACAATAAGTTAGAGAATAAATAAATCCTACATTTTTTATTGTTGCATCAACAATAAACATAAAACTTTGTAAACTGACCACGATCTGCAACATCAGCAGCAATATTTCTGCTTTACAGTGTAAGTTGATGCAGCACCTTGATGTTGACAGTAAACTCAGTCTCTGACAAAAACCAAAGGAATAAGTGGAGCTCGCAGCTTTCATGGCTTTGGAATGTGATAGCATATAAGAGTTAATGTCCCCCTCTGACTAATTACTGAGGAATTAAAGGAACATTGACCTGAGAGGAAAAAACAACTGCTGCAGTTTWTGGCAGGTTGCACCATGACTCAAACCTGGCTTATCTTCAGTCAAAACATTCAATAAAAGCTGCAGCAAAAAAAACGTTTGAGCCACGACAATAAAGCTGCTGCACTTAACGCAAACAAAGTGTGTGTGTGTGTCCTTGTTTTTGCTACTTGGTGGGTACAATTTTTCAATGAAAATGCAGCYTYGTGGGGACGGCTTGSTCCTTGTGGGGACCAAAGCCCGGTCTCCATGACTTCRGAGGCTGATTTTGGGTTGGGGGTTGGGTTTRTGATCAATGTGTGAAGTGAGTTTAGGTTAGTTTTAGGGTTAATGGTCAGGGTTAGGATATAACATTTCCAAAAAATGAATGGAAGTGAAAGGATAGTCCCCACTAGGATAGAGAGACATAGTAGGTGTGTGTGTGTGGAGCTAATGTCTTCCATGAATCCCAAAGAAATGACGTGTATTTCTACATGACAGCATCTGCACTGAGCAAGCTGCCATTTTCAAGTGTGTTGTCTGAAAAAAATCTAAATTTTCTCTTAAATATTAAGCAGAAGAACAGATTCCAGCTCTGATACAGAGGAACTTAAAGCAAACTACAGGTCAACAGTGAGTAAATGTAAACAAACTATTCCCAACTACAAGTATGTGACTGTAGGATGTTTGACACTGGTTTGATCCTGTTGGAAGTCAAAGTGATCTGAAGTCCCAGTTTGAGTCCTGAAGTCGTTAAAGCTTCTGCTTCAGATGCGTCCTTCTTTCAGGCAGTGGGCTGAAGTTGAAATGTTTCAGCCCAGCCGTGTTCCTTCAGCAGGAGCTCATCAGGACAAACTTTCTGCTTTCATCCTTTCATCTTCTCACATCAGCCTCTTCAGGTTCTGTCCTTTAAACCCCACAGGGCAGAGCATCCACAGGTGTGATCCATGAACAGGTTTTAGTTGTTCTGTAACTTTCATGTTCTGCTCCTCAACCTTTCAACCCCAGGAAAACTGCTTCTTGATGTGAGCAACGTGTTGGACCGAGCAACAAATCTAAAGGAACAAAAACAAAAGTAAACATGTTTGTTTTAGAAKTAACCAATAAAATGACGCAGTTACAGTTTTCAGGTGTTTTTCTTTTCAGTCATTTACCTTAAATACGCCAAGAGATGGTTTCTGCTCATAGATTTCACTGGTGGAGTTGAGTCATTGGTGCTGCTGTCCTCTGAGCTGTTGGAAGAAACACCAGCATCAAACTGAGAACAGTTCCTCGGGGGGGGGGGGGGGGTACATCAAGAACACAGTGGGCTTCTCATGTGGGAAAGGTTGAAACAGGTGATCATTTTAATCCTGATCGAAACTTCAGTAACAACAAGGTGTTTCTTAGTGAGTATGAGGAGCTGCGCAGCAACACGACTGCTTTAACTTTAAAGGTTTTTCATATCTGCCTTGTTCTGATGGGTTGTGTAGGAGGAGCGCATGTCAGGGTTGTCATCCAGTCTGAAGGTGGCTTCATACGTTTACGGGATAACTGTTCAGGATCCACCAAACTGTGTCCAAGAACATCCAAAGAAAAGCATTTTTGGGATGCCTTCTGGGTAAGAAGTCAGCTTGAGTTCCTCAAAACACCTTCAAGGATAACATCTAGAGATGGTGACTAATGCACAGAGGCGGTTTCATGACCACAATTACACCAAAGACGCAACAAACGCTCCCTTGAGCCCAGGCAGAAATGTAAACGTTCCAAAAATAGCTGCGCTGCTGAGAAAATGTAGGTTTTTCTTTCAAGTCCTCCCTGAGAAATGTTGTGGTTCTACCAGCACTACCCTCATCCTACACTCGTTACCCTCATCCTACACTCGTTATCTCTCTGACTGCTCCTCGTTGTCAACATACTTTACAGATGTATCATGCTAACTGAAAGGAGACACCAACAATATTTTGACAGCCTTGGGAGGATAAATGACGTTACAGCGGAGGTGAATGGATGAAACATCTCACCTTTTATGGCAGAAGCTGCGGCAGGTTTGATCAGAGCCGTTGAAGCATTTACATCGGTCGGCTGAGCGGCGGCGGCGAGACGTGGAGCCTCCCAAGCCATACGGGAGGAGGTTACTGTGGAGAAACAACACATTTATAAGTGTGAAAGCCTCAATGATAGATAAATGAAGCTGGAATCATACTTTTGTCTCTAAAGGACTGTGGAAAGCTCACCTTGGGGTGTTGACCCAGATGATATCCAGATGGCAGAAGTAGATACATTCTTTATCGTCCCAGCTGTTGCAGGAGCAGCGTTTGGTCCTGATGTGGCTCAGATGTTCTGCCTGGACTGGTCCCTCTGAGGGCTCTGATGTAGGAAACCCACAGCCTGAAAGCACAGAGGAGATTATGGTCCTGTTGTGTCAGTGAAGACCTCCAACACCTCAGACAGGATAATAATACTTTGAATTGATTTCAAGTCCAACAGTTGGTTACAATAAAAGGTCCAGAATGCAGGTATTTTATAAAGTCCTTTAGTTTTGACTCAACAGATTTCAGATTAAATCTGAAGAGTTTTCATCATAAAAGAAACTCACCGTCMTGCAGAAGCACACAGATAATGAACAAAGGGAATTTCTTGTCCATTGTTGGAGTTCAAAGGTGTGGATGAGCAGCAGCAGTCAGCAGTAGCAGCAGCAGGTGCTTTGTGTTGATGGCAGTCAGGAGCGTGTGCTTATATCCCGCTCAGCCCTCCCTCCTCTGGAAACTGGGCTGTTGTTACACAAGACACTCAGACTCCACCTGCCTCCCCACAGACACACAACAACACACAACATTCCAGCAGTGACCTTACTCAGCTGCTGAAAGCCTGACATCAGTTCTGTCCAGGTTCAACTGAAACAATACTTTGGAACGAAGGTGGGAACAAATATCAAAAACCGGATGTGTTTTAATCTGACTCCAAATGAGAATGAGTTGAATTAAACAGAACAAATAAAAACAGGCTTTATTTCTGGTTTCTTTGTACTTTTTGTTGTCTTTATTATGAAACTATGCAGCTCTTGTTGAATAAAACTATGAAAAAATTTAAACAAGAAACAGAGTTACATTTTAATAGATTAACGAGTTAATGAATAATCTGAGCAGGATGAAGACAGAGCAGTGATTTATCAGAAGTATAACAATATACCAGCAGGAAGTACCTCCCGCACACAGACACACACAGACCCCCACTGCTGCTGCTGCTAGTTACATTAGTAAATCTTGGTATTTCTTAAAGCACTGTTTGTCACCTTTCAGGCCAGAATCTGAAACTTACGGAGCCCATGAGGGGACATGGGGGGATTTTTTCTTTTGCATTACCTCGCAATACTTTTGCATTACCTCGCAATACTTTTGCATTACCTCGCAATACTTTTGCGTTACCTCGCA